CCAGTAGGTGGCGAAGCTAGGACTGGAAGTCTCCTCGTCTAAATGTAAGGCCAACCCTTTTTTCCCCTAAGAAGTTCCAGCTACTTGGAAGGCTGAGGCGGAAGGATCGCCGGGGCCCCGCAGGTCGAGGCTGCGGGGGCCGGGAGCGGCCACTGCACTCCAGTCTGGGCGACCGAGGGAGACTCCAACTCAAAAAAAAAAAAAAAAAAGAAGAAGTAAATGTCCCCGGGCTCAGCCCTCTCGCTTCTGCCCTCCACCCGCGGGAGAGTTGAAGACATTCTGAAAAGGCCAACCAAGCCTCTGTACACGAACGCAAGAAGGGCCGGAACGCACACCTGTGCCCCGGGCGCCTCTTGGTGCCGGCGCGTGACTGGATAGGTCGGAGACGAGGGAGGGATGCACTGGTCGGGGGTTGGGGTGCAGCTGGAGGCGACGGATTCTAAGACGCTGGGAGTGGGAGGGGTGCTGCTGCCCCACGACCGCCACCACCACGTCCCGAGCTGCACAGGCCCGGAGCTCCCAGCGCCGAGGGCCCTGGCTCCCAACAGCGTTCCACGGTCAGGGTCAGCACCTCAAACCTCAGCTCCTGGGAGCTTCGAAGGTGCAGTTCTGACGGCTGAGTCATTCCTGGAAAGAAAATGAAGACAAGAAATGACGGCGTCAGGGTCATTCAGTCGCCGGTTCCAGGGCTGGGACTGGGAGCCACGTGTCCCCTCTCTGGGGTCTGCTTTCTGCCACGCTCTTCAAGTCCACTTTAGGCATTTCGGTTGGGAAAAGTGTGCGCCAAGAAGTCAGCAGAGAGGCAGGCGGGGGTGACCGTGAGAAGGCCCCTAGGAGGACCCTGAACGTAGCTGATCTGGGCTACCTTCCTCAAGTCAGAGATCAGCGGGTGGGAAGAGGACGCGTGGGAATCGGGACGTGCGCGTGAACCTTCCTTCTCCCGAGTACTGCACGTCGTCCCATCCGTAACCTGCGCTCCTCCTCACGCCGGGCACAGCTGTCCGCAGAAGCCTCGGGAAGGCTGGCCTAGATCCAGGCCGAGGAGTGCGTGAGACCCTCCGGGAGCTGGAGGCGTGGAGGAGGGAGAATGAATAAATAGCCGCCCCTAAAGTTCCACATCTTTTTTTACTCCCCTCCGTAGAGCCAATTAAATGTAATAAAACATTGCATGGAATCCCTCTTCCTAGCAAAGCGTCGCCAACAATTGCCTAAGGGGTAAACCAAATACGCCTGAGATAATTACACTAAGGCCCGGGGCAATGATTTGCCTGCCAGCGTCCTGAGCGCCAGCCAATATTTGGATAGTGCAGTAGTTGTTTTTCTAAAAAAAAATTACACGCGGAAACTTGAAACCGACTGGTTGGTGCCAGGATTGTTACACGATCTGTTTTTCTTGAGCTGGGGTCTGCAGGCAGCTGGAGCGCGCGCGTTCCGGCCCCCGCCGGTGCCGCTGCGCGCCTGCAAAACTTGCCGGAATTAAATCAACCTAGGGGGAAAGAGCGGGGGAGAGAGAGAACGCGCGCCCCCCACCGCTACCCAAGCTCTGCAGCCGGGCCTCGCGCCGCGCCTGGAATCCCTCGGGATCCTCCTAGGCAGCGGCAGCCCGCCCCTCTCCAAAAAGGGCACGCGACCTGCGCTCCGGGTCCGCGCTCTAGGCCGCAATCCGGGTCAGGGCAGCCGGGGCCGTCTGTGGCTTCGGCGGTGGGGATCCCTTCCACCCTGGCCAAGAACACGTGAATGCGGGAGCTTGAGTTTCGGGGCGCTGCCCTCAGCCTTCTCTGCCGTTCTGGTCCCGGTTGCAGGGAGTTCGGCCGGCTGAACTCAGTGAGTGGGCTCGTCGAGGCCGAAGGCGCTGGCAGCGCAGCTCTGGTCCCCAGGTGCTGAACCCGAGGTGGTGGCGGCGGTTCTGCAGGTTGCAACGAGCTCGCCCAGTGAGCGCCTGGCTCACAACTTTAGTGCTCAAGGGTTCGTGTTACGCGCGTGAGGTTTGCCTCGCGCGCCCTTGAAGGACCGCTCCTCTCGCTCGGTCCCCACACGCCTCGGAGCCCATTTCCCAACACGAACGGTCCCCGAGCCGCTCCCCAAAAGCAGGCTCTGCTGTTTCAGAGCAACCCTTGGAAGAGATGCTATCGCGAGGTATCATCAACGAAGGATCCCTTTGCCCGAGCTGCGTGTGGGGGCTGTGGCCCGGAGAACCTTTACGCTCGGCGCGCGGAGCTTCCCAGCTGCAGCCTTGCAGCCCGCGCAGGAGACCCAGCTTCCCGCTCTGGGACAGGGCTGTCGCACCGTCTCGGTCAAAGAAGGAGCCACCGGCTTCGGCGGGTTTTTGGCTGTCACTCTAACTGTGGGCGTCCTCGGAATTCCTCCGTGGCCAGGGGGCCGTCTGCAGCTCGGCTCCTTAAACTGTCTCAGCGGGCCCCAAATCCCACAGCAACTCCTTTGGCAAGAGGAACGTTCCCGGAGCAGAGTGACAGCGCACGCATCCTCCTTTGACAAGAGCTCCTTTCCTTAGGACCCACCACGAGGTGGTTCTTTCTCCCGGGTCTTCTTGCAGGCTTCACCCTAGTACCAACAAAGGGCCAAACAGCACTAACCAGAAAATCTAGCTCCTGGAGAAAGATATGAGTCTGCCCCACTAGCTGCGCTCCTGCGACCAGAGGGGCAGACACACTTGCACCCTACAGCTCATCAAAAGCCACAAACACGGCCCTGAGGTCGCCAAGGTTGCTGGGGAAGCAGCACCTTCCCAAGCAGTTGGGTCGACGGCTTTCTTCAGTTTAGGCATGGGCCAGAAGGAAGCAAGAACCGAGTGAGTCATCGTCTCTAACTGCTCTTTTCTCCTCAAATCATGGAAGGAAATTTCAGACCCTTCATTTTACAAATGACGAAACTAGGGCCCAGAGGCCAGCGGAGAGTGTATGCGGTTCTAAATTCTGCTTCTCCTCGCAGCCTAAGGGCAGAGGTAGCCAAACCCAGAATAGAACTCAGGTTCTCCCTGCGCTAAACTGGGTTCCGGGCTAGGAGTGCAGGCGAGCGCGGAGCAGGACCGGCAGGCAAAGGAGCCTCAGGACCCGGCTCACCGCCCTTTCCCTGGCGGGTCGGTCACACAGGATCCTGTGGACTGGTCGCTTAATCATAAGGATCTCTCTTCCCCGCTCGTCTCCCCCTACTTCCCCCGCCCACCCGGGCTAAGAATGGCAAACACTTCATTGCGGAACACCCAGGTGATGGGACCCCCGAGCTCCCAACTCTTCCTTCTAGCCCTAACTCGGACATCACGGCTCCCAGAGAAACCTCACGCTGACTAACCTACCCGCTCCGGGAACGTGTGGTGCAGCCTCTCCACCCGCCAAACCCTTAGTGTCTACTCTGACTTCCCGGTGACTGTCGGCCTCGCCCTCTAGACCGCGGCGGTGGCGCGCAGAGAGCTGTCTCGTTCCTCCCGGCACCTGGCGCGTCCCTCCCTGCACACTGGGCCCGACACGCAGTTGGCACACAGTGGAATTGGGATGAACTTGGCATTTGACGCAAACGCCCCGGGCTCTCCGCCCCACTCGCTTTTCCATCCAGCCCTCTGGGCACCGGGGCTTCTTGCAGAGAAGCGGCCTTGAGGAAACGGTGTTCCGAACTTGACCCGGAGTGGCTAGCCCAGGAGAAAGGGCTTGGAAGGAAAGAGAAGCTTGGAGCGAGGAGAGGGAGAAAGAGAAAGGCGAAAGGAAGGAGACGGGAGAGGAAGATGCCGGAGAGAAGGGGAGCACGAGGGCGGTGTCCTGTCCCCTGCGCCGTGCGCCGCGGCCCGGGTGGGGCGCAGCAGTGGGAACCGCACCCGGAGCGGTGCCCCCTCCTGGCGGACGCCTGCGCTCCCAGCCCCCCACCCCACCCCCAGGCCGCGGCTGGGGGCTGCCGAGCGGGTGGCGGAGGCGATGGGTGGAGGGCGCCCGAATGGAGGTGGAAAGGGGCGGGGGCGAGGCACGG